ATGCTGAAAAGACTGAAAGTGTGAACTAATTAGCATAAGCAACAAGACAGTACTGAGCAAGAGTGGCTAAAATACTAATTAATTAAATGGAACAATGAAATGATGCCATTTGGAATAGATGAACATTAATTTCTTTGTCAAAAATGTTTAATGGGTGCAAAAGTGATGTCCTGCTGTCTGTGTGAAGGCAGCATTGTTGTTGGCCACATACACAGCCAGCAAAGAAAGTAATGCCTTGCTTTGTCACACTAAACCCACCCTGTTAGAGGGTTTGATTGATCCCAACAATGTCAGAGCTTTTGGCAACACCCTCAGCAGTCAGTCACTTGCACTGCCAGCATGGGGGCCAAATGCTCTCCTTGGAAAAAACATGGACTGCCATCATTTCCAGGAGCCCAGCTCCAAAATTTGGATAGCACTTCCAGAATTGGATACGTCTGGGGATTGCTGCCATGCCAAAAGGGCCAGGACAGAAAGCTGCTGCTGGCCTTTGCCTGCCCTGGGAAACCTTTCATCTGCCCTTTGTGTTCCCTTGGTCTGTCACAGCCCCAAGAAGGCTGAGACCCTTGTTCCTGACCACTTTTAAAGAGGATTTGAAGCTTGAAGTCTTTTAGGAAACTAATCCAAAAGAGCCCCCCGTTTCCAGCAGTGGCTTTCCTACATCACTGGAGGGAGCAGTGAGAATTTTGGGATGAAGTCTTTACTCTCCTGCTGATGAGCTCAGAGTTGGTGTCTCCTGTGCTCCAGCCACGGGGCAGGGCCTCCCTGCCCTTTGGTCCCTGCCTCGTGGCCACCCCTGTGCCAGGGGATACTGTGCAGGCCACCCGGAAACAAACCCATTCCAGCCCAGCATTCCCCTGTGTGCCCACTGGAATGTGCACCAGACACCCCGAGGGAAGAAACATTTCCAGAGGAGAAACTTTGCTCTTCCTGCTGCAGCCACAAATGGGAAAAATGAAACCCTCCAACTCTTGTCTTTTTGTATCAGGGAGTCAGGCACCACTTTCTTCTGGCCAGGGGGTGTGTTGGGGATAACTCCAGCCCTCCCTGTCCCCCCAGCCTTTTCACTTATTTATATGTTTTCAGCAAAAAAAGAATTTAAAGGGCATCAGTTCTAAATTACATCATCCTCTTCAGTATTTAGTGTTCCATCTTCTATTGGTTATTGACTCTCACTTCTCATGCTAATTAGTCCCCATTTTTCAGGCTTTTTATTATCCTTTTCCCAGGTAGGGAGTTTCCAACACCTATTGTATGGTCTTTGTTAACCTCTTCTTTGTCTTCTAGTTCCTGCACAATGTCCTTGTGGTGTGTAAATTCTGCATTCCTTGTGTCCAGTTTCAGCAATCCATCTCTCTCCCCAGGCTTTGTTCACTGAAGCAGATCAGGGCTAGTTTAGCAAAACTCAGAGTTGTAATAATTTTCCCAAGCCTGTTCCCACAAGAGCAGGTGATGACAAACTTTGCTAAGTGCTGGCCAATAGTGACTTAAGAGTAACCCACTGTTTAGGATGAATATTCTGGTTATGACTCACTAAAGCAATTAACTAACAAGTTAATGAACACCATTCATTTAAAAGAATCAGAAAATGATCTCGTTGCCAGCAGCAGCACCGAGTGCCCGGAGCCGATGTGTGCAAGTGCTGGGCTGGAGCAGAGAGGTGCTGGAGGGGCAGATGGCAATGGGACAGCACAGAAAGGGGAAACGCTTCCCCCC